AAAAAAATTCAGGAAAAATTTGGGCAAATTCGGGTTACGCCGGAAAAATAAAAAAAAAATCCGGCAGACGGCGAGGACGACTTCTCCACCGGCGGCGGGCAGCTGGGAAATGATTTTTTTCGGGCTACTCGAGCCCGTGACCAACAAAATACCTCGGTCGGGCGGCGAATGGCACCTGCCCGCCGTGCCTGAAAATTTTCGGGCACCGAGCATGCCCGCCATCTAAACTTGCACCACTAGTTCGAATCCTATCATTGATGCTTACTCGGAATCAATTGTGGACACGGTTAATTACTACAACTATGTGTTTTTCAATGCCGCGGGATGTGAAAGTAACTATTTCAGAATCGATGTAAGTTTCTCTACCTTTAAAAATATTTTAAATATAATACTCAATATTATATGTGTTAAACTTCATTTTTTAAATGTTACACTTAAGATAACTAAGTGTTATACAAACAAAAGAATGATGTTAGACACCAGCATGAAAACCGTCATATTTGTCGGATCAGTCTGGCTACCAGACTAAAGGCATTTCCTATGTATATGTATGTGTATATGTATATATGTTTTATGGATGAGACATTAATTGGCTGATAATGATTAGAATTATTGCACTAGCGCATGACTAATAATCATTATTATAACTAGACTTTAATCTTTTTTAAGGTAGTTATTTTGCCTGTTTAATTTTTTGGTGCCGCTTTGGTTTCCCCTTTTCATTTTCACATTAACATTGTATTTAAAAAAAATAAAAAATTATTGAGTGAGGATCCAATTAGGTAGATGAGGGAATTGTTAATAGGCGTCATGTAAAAAAAATTTAGGACTAATCTTCATTAAAGATACAAGATTATTCTAGTTAACTTGTAAAAGTGACTATACAAAAAAAACTTGGTGCCCGTGATATTTTTTTGTGACCAACTAAAACACTTTTGCAACTAAAGTTTTAGTCATTGAATGCATGAATATCTAGTGACTACAACATTTTAGTCATAAAAAACTTTCTATGACCGACTTTTAACGACAAAGAAGCGACTATATTTTTTTTAATTACGAAAGGCTTTATGCCACTAAATTTGGACTATTTATGGCTAAAAAATTAGTTGTTAAAAGTCAAATTTCTTGTAATGAAAGCATTATTTATGTCATACGTCACAAGACACATGTCGTCAAAAGAGTTGGTGCTATAATACAAGTTTATTAAAAGTGCGCCATAAAAAGTCAATTTGTCACCTAATTAAAATTTAGACTGTATTTGTTTATCATTTGAAACACGAATTGGCATTCATGATTACATTTTTTCCATTGATTGCACTTATTTGAAAAGAACAACTATGTCATTTAGTCAATGGAAAAACATTTTAAATTTTACTCTTAGTACTATTGGTAAAAAATTTTACTGATTAAATCACCATGTTCTTGATGTTACTAAATTTAAAATCTATAAAAAATATAAATTAGGATGACACACTACAAGGAGATCTTGCTTCTGTGGACATAGCTACCACAAAGAACTTGAACAATCTTATGGAAGCGGGCAAGAAGCTGCTCAAGAAAACTGTTACTTGCATCAACTTGGCCACGGGTCTCTTCGAACCCATTCCAAATGGTCCCTCCAACCAGGAAGAACTCAAAAGGTTGCACATATATATTTTCTGTCACACTATATATACTATAAAAATTAATCAACTTTTTTAATTACATCGCTGTATTTTCATTTTTATTTTTATTAATTGTTTTACTGAAAGACTTTATTACCCTTCTATTCTAATAGATTTGCGAACCTACTTTCCGACTAAAGGAGGCTCCGACTGGCTAACGAGAAAACCACTGCGTAGTTATTTTCAGCTGCATCGTCTCGATCGATCGAGTGCTAATAAATAATGAAATAAGCTCAACTTGATATAATTAAATAAGTCACGGTATATTTACCGTGTCTTCTATCAATAATTTGTATTTTCTTTTATGTTCGACATGTGTAATTGTGTTGTTGAATTTGTTTCTCTTCGAGTGTTGTCTAGATAAAAGTCGAAATAAAATCAGTGTGCTTTTGTATTTGAATCATATAAAAAACTAATAATTAAACCAACATGATACCAAAACGTAAA